TCAAGAAAAAAATGACAAGGGAAATAAGGTAGCCCTCTTCAAAGCCCTGGAAAGACATTACACAGAAGGTATCCAAGACCTATTTTTTCTCTCTCTCTAGACAGAAAATAATGAATGTAAATTAAAAGAAGGCAGTTTCTCCGTGAACATTAGAAAAACATCCTGACAAGTACAGACATCTTGATGGGGGAACCTTTGGCCCAAAGGAATGATGGTCTTCCCTTTATGGGATGTACACTAGCAGAGGCCCGATAGCTATCTAATTGTATATATTTAGCTTGCTTTAATCTGAATTCTTGCACTAAGTAGGGTTTAGGTGATTGCCTAAGAGACCCTTTTCAACTAATAATTCTTCAATAATTTCTCTTGTGCCCACAGAGAGAACCATACTGGGAAGCAGAGTAAGTCTGGTGACAGTTCCTCTTCCAGAGCTGCTCACTGGTTGCGCCAAGATCTGCGAGTCCGTTTTATCGATAAGCTCTACAAAGGGGGAAAATATTATAATACCAAGGTACTTGTAGAAACCTGCTTCTCATCATTAATACAGTATTACTATCTGAACCTAGTGTGTACAAATTATACATCTAATTTTTTAGCGTTGTAATAATTTGTTACAGTGTGTGTGAAGAAAAGGATAAATTGCTGTGCCAGCAAACCAACTGACCCAATTGGCGTCTTCCAGATGTGCTGGGTCCCTAGAAATTCCATCCAGCATGGTTGCTTCCTGGGAACTTTGGGTGTTGTAGTCCCATTGCATCTGGAGAACACCAAATTAGTGAAGGCAGATCTAAAACTGGTGGGAGTGCTTGCAGCTGAGGGCCAGTTCCAGCCAAAAACTGTTATAAATACATAAGCTGACCCCCATTGTTAGGACACAGAAGGTATGAAATCCTGTGTTGTTGTTTTTTTGTCTCCAGATGGTAATTGAAGATGTCCTCAAGCCAGACACCTGTGTTTGCCGAATAGCCGAGGGGCAAATTCTGGATGGTGAGTGTATTAGTGCTGCTGCTTAAACTCTGAGAGTCAAGACTTGACCGTTGATATTTTTGGAACAGCATCTTAGCCTGATGGTTAGGAAGACAAGTGTCCAACTTTGGTGCAGAAGTTCTAGTCAGTGCTTCCAAGGAGGACATTTGTGATTTGGGAACCCAAGTTTCTGAAAGAAGGCTTGCACTCATGTCAGCCTGCCCAAATGCTAAGGTCGTCTACTCTTTTCTGAACCATCTTTTTCTCAGAGACGGTTGATGGTGCTTTTGTCTTTTACTTTTGCTACTCGGTCTATGATTTCAAAACACTTAAAGTTCTTGTCCTGCTTTTAACAGTTTGTTTTAATAGTTTTATAGATAAACATTACTCTTTGATTTTGAAATAATAAACAACACTATATATTGGTATCTGAAAATACAGCTATTTATATTTAAAGAGATGTTCAATACATAATACTTTAAAGAAGATTTTTTTAATTTAATAGGCCTTGACCTCTTTTACAGGTATCCATGAGTCTATGCTGGAGACTGTAATTCCTCGGAATGATTCAGACTGGATTATGGTGGTACTGGGGGAGCATGTTGGAAGGGTAAGTCACTAATCCAGTGAGATGGAACCTGGCTAATTTCTCTTTAAGGCCCTCAAATTTCATGCTATAGAGATATGGGATTGTTTGTTTGTTTATATTATTAAACTTGTATGCCACTAACACAATAGTAAATTGCAGGGATGATAACAAATACCGTATTTTTCAGAGTATAAGACACACCTTCTTCCCTCAAAAAAGAGGCTGAAAATTTGGGTGCGTCTTATACACGGAATGTAGCCCCCACCCACCCACCGGCCCCAACCCTTTGGCCTCTGCTTCCCTGCAATTTACCTCTTTGCAGCAAATGGGGGCTTGCAGAGGCTTCAATAAGCTATAGCAATCCCTGCAGCCTGTAACAGCTGATGATCCGGAGAAAGTGAAACTTGCTGTTTGTTCCATGTGGCAAATTGCTGGGAGGCAGATTTTTTTTTTTCTTGTGCTAATCAGGCTGCAAGGAGGTAAGTCAATAACTATAAATGCCTATAGAATGTTCAAATTATTAGACTTATTTTTTAAAGATTGCTTTATTATTATTCTAGACAACTTAACAAAACGAAGAAGCTTTTTAAAATAAATTCTTGATCTGAAGAGGCCCCATGCTATTGTTTTAAAAAGTGGTATTCTTTAAAAAGCAGAGAATAACTATATTTCCAGAAAGCTCATCAATTTTAACAGCATCTGTACAAGTATAGTCTGAAATATAACACTACAAACTGTATATTGTCTGTACTGTTTGTTGCAAGGAGGCAAATTGCTGGGGGGGCAGAGGCAGATATTTTCCCCTTGTTTTCCTCCCCAAAATCTAGGTGCATCTTATACTTTGGAGCATCTTATACTCTGAAAAATATGGTATCTATATGTATTTTTTGAAACAATTACAAAGTAAACTAAAATGCAGCAAATCACATGTGATTTGGGGCATTTTTTGGCACTGCAATATTACATGAAATTGAGTTATGCTTACTACTTGTAAGGGTGGTTGATCACTGGAATAACACAATATTTGGAGCTCCACAGTTTGCCCATACCTGGTATTCTCAGATGTATTCTTTTCTTCAGAAAAAGAAACACTAACCTCATTCATGCTTTTTCACTCTTAAATTAGATGGGCCGCATTCTGCGTCGAGACAAGGGACAGAATCATGCAGTGGTGCAACTACAACAGGATGACGAAAAGCTTCTGACTCTGGATTATGATGCTATCTGTCACTATGTTGGTGGCTTCGAGGATGATTGAGATCCACAGCTCCTCCAAATAAAAGAACATCTACAGAACAGAGGAATTTCTCTTCTGGGGTTCAAAATAAAGAACCCAGTCCATAATGTGGCATCTCAATGGAGTGGTGTTGGAAGTATTAAGCATGACAAGACCACACCACGAGCAGCCTTCATATGCACAGCAATCCATGATTCATATTCAGTTATTTGGCTGGGTTTTTTTTTCTAATGAAGGTGTTAGATGTTCTATTATTTTTGGCTAGTGACATGTAGAGATCTCTGAATCAATGATGCTCCAGAACTGCCAAAGACGAGTGATCTAATAAAGGCACTATGTGGCATAATCAAACAGTTGCTGGTCAACTCTGGATCTAGAGGACTGAAAATGAAGCCACCCCTAGCACAAAGATTTCTGATTTAGAAACTAGTGGTTCATGGACTTCCATTTTAAATTATTTTTTGGAATGTGGAGTTTTAACCTCTTAAGTTCTTTTCTAGAAAATAGCTACTGCAATTTTTGTCATCTGAAAATTTGGGATGAAGGCTGGTAAAATGTATGTAAGAAATAACTTGCTCTTCAACTAAAATTCTCTAAGCATTCAAGGATGGAACCTGGAACCAATGTATTTTCCTGATTTTTTTTCAGGATGGTCATTTTGTATTGAACTTATATTCACAAAATCCTGAAGCAATTAGTTGTCAGAAAAGAGAATTGCTACACTGTAGAAGTTTGCAAGAGTTATTTTGTTGGAAGAAACTAGATTACAAGGCATTCAGGAAAGAAAGAATAATACTTATCTTACATTATCCTGGAGTGTCTATTTTCATCATAGAGCTAAACATAAATAAGCATCAGAAATGAACATAGATGAATAATCTTTTGGCAGGTGTCTCGTTTTGCTAAAATGAATATGTTTATGTGTAAATTTCCCTCTCAAAATGTCATGTAAAGTTACTGTCCATTTTTCCTGCCACCTGTGTAAAAATGAATACAGACCCAACTACTATGTGTAAAATAGCTTTCTTGTACTTCGCTGATAGTTTACTCTCTTTTTGGCTATAATATAAGTAAAGTCTTATTTTGCCTATACTTTGTATGATTGTTACTAAAATTGTGATCAGTAAATTGCACTGTCTAAGGTGGTTTTTAATTTCCAAAGCAAAAAAAAAAAAAAAATCAAACACCTGAGATATTTCAACACTGTTGAACAACCTAGCATTCTTAGGTTTTACTGGTTTCTACTACCTTCTCTCAAAACTTTATAAAAACATTTGCAAACAATGAAAGAATAGGATGAAGGCATTGAGGAACAAATGTTTCTCTCCTTGCCTACCTCTCCAAAGAATTATAGGTCCCTTGCTTATTAAATAAGTAAATAAGCTGAAGGGAAACTTAGGTTGATTTGGGATTCCCCCAAGTCAAGACTGTTAAAAGGTCACAGAGTCCAATGTGTTTCTAACCCATATGTTAAGCTAGCTGCAACGGCCAGCTGTTCTAGGACTGAAGGATGCAGTTTGGCTTGTTCAGAGAATATTTTACTGGAGATAAATCTGGCCCTTTCCATTCGTCAGTGAAACAACAGGTGTTTCTCTCTTCCCTATCCATATCTTTATTTTTTATGTTGTAAATTCTGAGAATCAGCGCTGTTAACTGCGCTTTAACTACCACATTATTTAAGCTTTTTATAAACACATTTTCCCTTTAGCCCTGATCAATTCCCGCAACGGGACAGCTGAACGGCTTGTGTTGCCAGTCTCAAAAATGGCCGCCTTGAAAACTCCCGGCCTCTTCCCCTGTAGCAAGCGAGAGAACCCCCGTATGTTCACAGCTCGGGGCTCCCTGCCAGTTTCCAACATGGCCGCCGAGACTTTAGTAACTTCCTAACACGTGAGCCCTCTCTGCCTCATCTCTATGATCGAACGGAAGTAGCTCTGAACTGCCTGCTGTTGTTTACCTCACGGATAGCTAATGTCGATGTAAATAAAGTGGGGAAAGGTGAGGAATCCTCCAGGTGAAGCGGAGAGAGGAACGGGGGTGGGGTGCGGGGGATTTCAGGCGGACCTCTTCAGATTTTTAGGAAAGAAACCGCAATGGCATCTCCCTGTATTTCTCCTATTAGGACAGACGGGGTTGAATAATTTTGGGAGGGGAGGACCGGGTGGCTCTGTAACCTCGGCGAAGTGGGAAGTGTACGTTGTTCGAGGAGAGCTTGCAGGAGTGTTTGGGTATGAACACTTAAATGGGAAGAAAAAATGGTGACTGGGGGCGTTGGATAAAGATCAGATCCCCATTAGGAGAGAGAATCGTTTTATTGCTGGTGGGCTGTAGAAAAGATCCCAAGAACAAACCCTTGGAGTCAGCCCAAGAAGGAAGAGTGGCAAAGGGGTTGGTAACTGAGAAGAACTGAGGTTACATTGAAACAACTGAACAGATGGAAGTTCTTAAATGGAGACAGATATGAGTGGCAAAGGTGTCTTTTTGTGCAACCTGGTGCCCTTATGGTCGGTCTCTTCAGCTGAGATGACAACATAAGGGAGGGAAGCTCCTGCGGTCTTAGGACCTACTAAAAATGTCACCTGGGCTCTTTGGCCTTCCACTGGCATCATATCTCTGTGTTGATTTTGTCTTTCTGCACCACGACGGCTACCTTATTGGGTAACGGAAAAGAACCAGGAATATTGTGTGCCTGCCTCCACTGAGGCTGTCCCATCCAGCTCTTATGGCTCAGCAACGTGGGGTCAATAGCCTGCGCTTCAATCAAGATCAGAGTAAGTTATTGAATTTTATTGAATGTGTTCCCCAGGAGGTCTGGCACTCTTTTATTAGGGGGTTGTAACGGAGAGTCATAGGCCCTTCAAAATAAGACCTTTGAGATGTTTTCAGCTCATAAGGCGATCTCTAATCCCTGCATTTGAGAATAGCCTTGTTGATGGAAATATCCTTTCTTTTTGCTAGGAAATGTATTTTTTTTCATTTCAGGGATTTTTGGGGCTGGCAGTCTAACATCACTAGTAGATTATGGTCTTCCTTTTGACTCCAGTGAGTCATGATGTTCCCAATATACCACACAGTTGATCTATGCTCTCTCATAATAGGCTGTTTCTGCTGTGCTATGGAGACAGGTGTTCGGATCTATAATGTGGAACCTCTTATGGAGAAGGGCCACCTTGGTAAGGAGCAA